GCCAAGTCCCATTTTGGAAGTAAGCAGCCTGATTCTAAAGGTGAGCATTTGATTGTCCACAGGGCGGACTTATTCCCCAGGTGCTTTCTTTGCTTTGTTGGGTTTTTGTGATTTTTAGAAATGAGGAAATGAGAATGCAATTTCTTTGAAGAAGTTTTAAAACTTGTAGGGAAATGGTAAGAGATTGGGCTGAGGAGAGTTAAGAATTTACAGTGGCAGGGAGGAAGTTTTTATATATCCTTTTGTTTATTCTCCCTACCCCAAATAAAAATACTCCATGTTGCTGGCAGAAGCTTCAGAATGTATAGAAATGTATAGAGAAGCAGAAAAAGGGTCATACAAAACTCTGTCATTCAGAGGCAATCACTGTTAATGTTGTAGTCAGTGTTCTTTTTGTAGTTTTTTTTTCTATTCATTTTTCATGTGCTTGAGCTCTGCCTATGCAGTATATATATATACTGCATGTCTACTCTTCCCTGTTTTTTTCACTTAACATTATCTTTCCCAAGTCATAAAAATATTTCTTTGTTGATATAATTTTTACTGGTGTGCCAGTACATAAATTCACTTAAACATTTCCTTTATATTACATATTTTAGGTTATTTCTGTATTTTTGCTTTTGTAATTCTATAATGAACATCCTTGTACATAAGCTGCTGACCCATTCTAAATTATTTCTTTATCTACTTTTAGGTAGCTTTCTTGTAAATTTAAGAACTTCTGGATGTGTTTTCTTAGAAATTACATAGAAATTGATTTACTAGGATAGAGAAGTGTGTGTTTTAAAGACTTGATAGATACTGTGGGCTTCTTCTTTGGAAGGTGGTCTGTGATGCTTATGTCTTGAACGCAGGCCTGTTGAAGCTGAAATTTGCTCCATCTTTTGTCCCTAGGTATTGGTTCAATTTTTAAATTTAAATACATTGTTGTCCTGTAGTCTGAGGACATCAGAATATAGTTTTGGTAGTTTTAATTTTCACCACACCACTGAGATCTGAGTGCATGTTGTTTTGCACATTCTGTGTGTGGATAAATATGACCTAGATGAGTATGTTGAGATCTCACATACTAGTCACAGTCAGTGGTAACTTGGGAGTAGGACCCCACATCCTGTGTGTTAGTTTTAAAAGTTGTCTCTGACTTCGCTGTTCTCCCATGTCATCCATACTTGTATTTATTAGGTTAGTGATAGTTCTTCATAGGAGGACTAAATGAATGCTAAACATAGCCTGGTAAGGTCTTTTATTGGATTCTGCCAAGGGGATTAAAGACTTTATTCTTTAATTTCTAGGGTCTTCCCCCAGCCATAGGACATTTCATATAAGCTCTTCACCTAGGAGATGTCAGAGTCACACGATGGACTCTTCTTACCCCAGTGGCAGTTGGAAAGTGTCTGATTCAGATCTGTCACCTCCACGGAATAGACCTAGGCCCCAGACCTCTGATTCTGACCTCTCCCCACCAAGGAGGAAACAGAGGGCTGGATCGTCCGATTCTGATCTATCTCCACCTCGAAGGAATCAGCCTCCAGGAAAGAAGGTAGGACTTTCCCCATGTCATTCTCTTAGAGTGTCTTCTGTCTTTTAACTCTGTGCATGTCACAAGCCGGAGGAGGAGGAAGCAGCTCTTGGTAGCATAGTGGTCTGTTCAGAGGACCTCTAGAGCTCTTCCCTTCCTTCCGAGGGCAAGACTGCCTTTAGCCCAGCCCAGATGAACTTGCAAATACCAGGTTTCCTAAGCAGCTTCTGTCTTTATAGCCTCTCTGTTCTACAAATCTCATTTTAATAGGTCCAGAAAAACTCTATATTTTCTTATGAATAAACTGAGAACTGTAGTTTACAGAGTGGAGTTAGGATTATAAATCTGTCAAACAGATGACATGTTCGAATCCTACTTCTACTTACCATCTGTGAGATTTGAGCAAGATATGTAATATCTTTAAGGCTCAGCTTATCTATAAACTGTGGATAATAGTAGTAGATACTTCATAAGTTGTTGTGAAAAATAAGTTAGTGTCATTGTGTCATAAATAATACCAAACTAGTAGTCTCACTCCAGTGAGTGAGTTGGTTAAGAAACAGTGATACAGTCTGTGGTGTGCACGTTTTCCTCCACAAAGACTTCTCAGGTGAGTCTCCTCTGTAGCCCATGAGGTTCTGGCAGGGAAGGGTAGCCTGTCCCTAACACAGGAAGAAAGGTTCTTCTCTTTTGGAGGACAAAGTTCAGTTTGTGTTTCAACTGGATACTTTGACATTTTAGCATCTCTTCAGTCCCTGAATAATATTAATCATGTTTAACGCATTGTTAAGGATATCAGGATATACAGTATACTCCATTTGTGGGTTGGTTTGTTAAATTGATACAGGTGGAGTTGAATAAAGTTTTGATTTGGTTGTATCTTGTCATCATCCTAAAATATATCTGCAGTTAAAGGGTCTAAGATTTGCTTAAGTTTGTATTTTAAATGGAATACTTTTTAAGTGTGTGTCTTTACTATAGGGTTTAGAGCTTGATAGAGGTTTCTGATCAAGTGACCTGAGAATGAGTCTTCATGTGTGCAGTTTATATGCTGAAAAGTCAGAAATAAAGATGGTAGCCTTTCCTTTAATATCTTGTGGGCTTATGTTTCTGTTTATTCTTAGATGTGATAGTATTATCAGTTTTCCATGAAATTCATTTTATTTCTTCTTTTCTATTTTGTGAACCCTGTGGTTGGTAATGAAAATATAAAGTTGGTTTGGGTATTGCTGACCATCACACAAAAATGCACTAAATGTGTGTACCCATGGAGCCTCCTGCTGCGATTGTCTCATTAATGTTGGATGCCCCCTTTTCCATTGCACAGGCCGCACACATGTATTCTGGAGCTAAAACTGGCTTGGTGTTAACTGACATACAGCAAGAGCAGCAGGAACTCAAGAAACGGGACCAAGAAATAGCATTTGAAGGTAAAAATGTGGAAGTGCAGCGACCTGTCGAGACTCATTTTTTAAAAAAAGTAGTTTATTGTAACTGAAATTTTAAACTTTTAATTGCTATCAAATGTCAGCTTCGTTTTATGCATTATTTTAACTTTTCAGTGGGTCCTCTTCCTTCCTGAAACATGTTAGATTTCAGGGTCATTGCCAATATGTACTTAGATATTGGCAGGAGCTCTTTGTAGTCTGGCTGCAGAAGTTCTTATCCAGCATCAGAATCCCAAGTGGTTGGTTTCAGTTGTTAGAATATTATTTCTGAAATTGACCGGTGTTTATCTTTAAAAGTATAATTTTCCTTTGCAGATGAATTCCAGTTTGCTGAAACCATATTTCGAGATAAGTCTGGTAGAAAGAGAAATTTGAAGCTGGAACGTTTAGAGCAAAGGAGAAAAGCAGAGAAAGACTCGGAGAGAGATGAGCTGTATGCCCAGTGGGGTAAAGGGTAAGACAACCAATGAAACAAAACAAGACTGCAGTGACTGGAGGAAGTCATTTCTACTCTTCTGACCAGTTAGTTTATTAGTCTATCTTCAGAGCTGGAATGGGAAATTTCAGGGCACTCTGTCTCCTTCCTAAGAGCTGATATATTCCACACTCACAGTTGGCATTCTAGGAATTTTGTCCTTTGAAGTATTTGACCAAGGCTGCTGAAATCCATGTATTGTGCTAGAAAGAGGCACTTCTGCAAATGTAGCAGTCTGGCCCATCTCAGTGTGGGGGTGGAAATGTTAAACAGGATAGGCACAGCTCTCGGCTCTTCCTGCCAGGCTTGCGCAGAGCCGGCTGCAGCAGCAAAATGTGGAGGATGCGATCAAGGAAATGCAGAAGCCCCTGGCCCGCTACATTGATGATGAAGATCTGGACCGGATGCTGAGAGAGCAAGAAAGAGAGGGGGACCCTATGGCCGACTTTATCAAGAAGAACAAGGCCAAGGAGAATAAGAATAAGAAAGGTGAGCCTTCTGGGAATCATCAGAGATGGAGGTGACTTATGTGAAGAGAGAGAATCATTCGGATGATGATACGTAGCTATAGGAAAAGAAGGCTTTCCTGTACAATTTTAGTTCCTTCTATCTGGGAATTTTGGTTCAAATTAATAGAGATCTCTATACATATTTTTCCCTCCGCCACCCAGCTCTGAATTGAATTATATAGGTCACTAACTTCTTTTCTCTCTCTCATTAGTGAGCCCTCGCTACAGTGGCCCAGCTCCACCTCCTAACAGATTCAATATTTGGCCCGGATATCGCTGGGATGGAGTGGACAGGTAAGCCTGAGTATTTCTTACATTTTGGTTTTTTCTTCCATCTGACCCTAACCTCTCACTATTCTTAAATCATTCTACACTCTGCCTCGTTTCTTTGCTCTAATCATAAGGTTAATAATAAGAAGCAGATTCCTTCTTCTACAGTTGACCCTTGAACAACATGTGGATTAAGGGTGCTGAAATCCATATATAACTTCTGACTTTACAGAAGCTTAACTACTAATGGCCTAGTGTTGACCAGAAGCCTTATCAATAACATAAACAGTCAACATGTATTCTGTATATGTACTATATACTGTTTTCTTACAATAAAGTAAGCTAGAGAAAAAAATGTTTTTAAGAAAATTGTAAGAGAAAATACACCTCCAGTACTGTATGTATTGATACCATAAACTTCTGTTTTCTGTTTACTCACCTTATGTGTATGTAAGGACAGTCTACCCACTTCCATACAAATCTTACACACAGTGTTCCATCCAGTGAACACTCAGTGATGAGGGGGGTGACACAAAAGCATCCTGTACAGGTCTTGCTGTACAGTTAGATTTTTACAGGAAGACACTCCTGCACATACATACTAGGCATGTTTATTAATTGTACAGCACGGTGATGATTCATTGTTCATTAAGTGGAAGTGAATCTCCGTAATGGTCCTCAGCCTCATGGTCTTCATTCTGAGCAGGCCGAGGAGGTGTAGGAGGCGGGGTGGGCTTGCCGTCTCAGGGGTGGTGGAGGTGGAGGAGTGGGAGGGGATAGAGGGGGAGGTGGGGGACGCGGGTACACGTGGTGTAACTGAGGAAATACGTCATAATTTCTGTCTGACTTCTTTGACTTCATTTCTCTAAAAGAGTTTCTCTCTGGCACCAGTCCTCCTTCCCCCTTGTGCTTTAGTTTCCGTGCCCGGACTGTAGAAGGAGCGTATTGTAAAGAGGTCAGAAGCAGTCTTGAATCATTGGAACGCTTCTGCCAGATTGCATTTTGTCAGTTTGTGCTTTGGTCCTCTTTCTCCTATGTCTTCTTCCTCCTTGTCTGGCTCTGGTGCAGAAGCACTGGCCGCCATCAAGTCATCTTCTATTCATTCCTCTGGTGTGGACTATTAGCTGTTGGATTTTTCCAATGGCCATACCTTGAAACCCTTCACCCTCCTTCCATTTTTGCCGTATCCATAATGCCTTACATGATTTCTTTGATTGGCTCTGTCGTAAATCCTTGAAGTCATGCACAACATCTGGAAACAGCAGGAAATTATTGTTTTGGGCTTGATGGCTTTCACAGCTTTTTCTCTCTAACAGTGATGGCCTCTTCAGTGGTGTGATCCTTCCAGACCTTCATGCTGTCTCTCTGCTGGGCTTCTCTTCCATGGCATTGACAATCCTTTTCATAGAGCACCGTGTGCAGTGGGCCTTAATGGTCCTTATGACCCCCGGATCTAGAGACTGAATTGGAGATGCCGTGTTTGGGGGAAGTAAACCACTTCAACGCCTTCGGTGTTGAACTCATAGGGTTCTGGGTGGCTGGAGGCATTGTCCAATAACAAAGGAACGTTAAAAGGCAGTCCCTTACTGGCAAGGAACTTCCTGACTTCAGGGAAAAACACTGATGGAACCAATCCGGGAAAAGGGTTCTCATCCAGGCCTTCTTATGGCATGACCAAAAAACTGGCAGCTGATGTTTATCTTTTCCCTTCAAGGCTTAGGGGTCAGCAGCTGTGTACCTAAGGGCAGCCTGATCATAAGCCCAACTGCTTTTGCACAAAACAAAAAGCATCTCGCTTCTTGCCTTAAATCCTGGTGCTCACTTCTCTTCCTTCCTTTTAAGTGGCATTTTCTCCCCCCAGAATAGGGCACTTGTGTCTATGTTAAAACTGTTTAAGCAGATATCCTTTCTCCTCAGTGATTTTCTTAATGGCATCTGGGAACTCATCTGCTGCCTCTTGCACAGCAGGAGTTACTGCTTCTGTTATCTTGACATTTTTTAAGCCAAACCTCTTTCTAAAATTATTAAGCCATCCTTTTCTGGCATTAAATTCTCCAACTTTATACTATACAAGAAGATATGTCAAAGAAATAATCAATCTTCCCATGTTTTCTTCCGTCTGCTACTTCTATAGCTTTTCTTCTTCCTTCCTAATTACAACTCCTAAATAGAATTCGTGCCTCATATCGAATTTACCGAGTATCACAATTCTTCCAAGTGGTAAAGATACCTCAAGACAAATGCTGGGCATAGAAGCCACAGGGCATAAATATGCAAAGAAGTAAAAAACTAACCTTTTCAAACAATAAGGCTTCTCTCTCACTTA